TTATTGATACAACTATTGGCACAAATGAATGTACATTTTCTGTTAATGAACGGCAAAAGGTTTAATAGTTTTTTCCAAACTATTACTTCACTATCCATTTGCGAAGCAGAAGTCCTTGCTTTACCGTTATCGCCAGAATTCGCAAATAGACGGACAGACAGACAGACAGACCGACAGAGGCAGGGAAAATAGGGAGAAAAAAGAAAGAAGGAAAACAATGGGGGAAAAATAACCACTGAATAAACAAAGAAAACACAAAATGGATATGCAATTAGTCAAGCAAGCCAAATTTCTGCCCATTAAAAATTGCAATTAAAAGGTTTAACCACGAATCTCACCTTGCACCCACGCTCACAGTAAACCCAACGCCAATAAGTCGGTGATAGATCGAGAATTATATCACATCTTCACACCACAAAATATACACAATCCACTTTATTTGAACTTTCTCTAGCGTGTTTACTTCTATATTTTACCTTCGTCTTCACATGCTGTCTTTTTCACCTTACTCAAAGCCACCTGAGCATTCCTTACGGTGTTCTCCAGGGCTCGCAACTTGGCCTCCTGGTCCCCCATGATCTGTCTTTGGTTTTCTACAACAGTTTCGATCAGCTCTAGTTTACTCATGACTTCTAGCAGCATTATTGATTCTCTTGTTTGTTGTCCAGCTGACCTTAGGTCTGTAGTGCTGGTCTGTTTGTTGCTTATCTCGAGGAGTGATTTGGAGAGACGTGTGGGACTGTGCGGATTGAAAAACTAAATTAACAATAACTATCCTTAATTAAAATTAACTAACTGTTGCCTGCCTAAGGCATCTAAAATGCTGTAAGCGTTTAAAATGTGTGCATTCAATGTACAGGCATATCGGCCGATAAATATCCCCCACTTTCCCGCTGCTTGCATATCATTATTCATTTCTGGAAACGAAAAACTAGTCAATTCTTCGTTTGCAATAGACGTCATAGCCGCCATGTTGGAAGAATTTGGCAAAAGAATTTTCAATGAATTGTTATATCTTCAACATGGCGGACATTCCTTTCGTTATTGTGCTCTCTTGGGATTGATTGCAAACCAAGAATTCTCTTACTCGTAGTATCTTTATCAAGTAACGTCAAAGAAGAATACTTCTTGGCCATTTTACAGTCTCACTTGCCGTTTTTAACGTATCTATTACTACTGTTATTTGCGTCACCTACCCAGCTGGAGCCTTATAACAATAATTATCATTGAGGGAGTAATTTGGAAAAATCACTTATGTGCAGTAAAACAAGACAGACTATGGCTTTAATTTTGATTTCAAAAGGTAGGTTTTTTTCGACTATCAAAACCCAAGGAAAAACTTTGTTTTTTGGGCTCTCTTTTTCACCGCACTCTTTATTTGCCTTTTTATTCTTTCTCTCGCGTTATAACTTGTTTTCTTCTTGTGGTGTAGAAAAAAAATTTAAAGAGCAGATGTGAATTTTGAGCTCCAAAATATTGAACAAAAAAAATTATATCCGTTGATTATAAATTTAGTAACTTTTGTGTATGTGTATACTTTAATGCCTTTTATGTTTTCATCCCCTATAAGCTTTCCTTTAACATTTTAAGAGTCTTTCAGTTTCAATTTTCTCTTTAAGAAGCGTCAGCTCGCCAGACTGCAGACTGCAGTGGCGCAACCTTTCAAAACAAATACTCGAATTTTTACAAAATGTTTTGTCTGTTCTTCAAAGCTCACTTTTATTTAACCAAGAAATAACGATGTTCAAAATTCTGTATTGAAAGCCATGAAAACTATGAAGTTAATTTTTGAAGTCGATCTGTTTGCTGTTAAAAAACGATCAAATATCAATGTCACTTTGACAGACAAGTACTTACATGAACATTTCACTCCTCGTTATGCCATCCAAGTTTATCTACGCATTTCATATATATTTATAGTTTCAAATGCAAACTTCAATATTTACACTACGATTTTGTTCAAAATATATTTTGCTATGGAATAAAAGATAATTTTAAAGCATACTTTCTTTTATCCTTGTTCAATTCCAGTCTTTCTGCCATCTGCTTAATCTTCACTGCAAACTGCCCCATCTTTCTCTTCTACTGTGTCGTCTCGTCCGCTGGATTCCGTTATAAATTTTCCTTGCTACGAAAAACAAAGTGATTCCAGAATCCCTACGAAAAATCGTCCTCGATAATTCAGCAGAAACGCTTTATTTCCACACTTCAGAAAGCGTGTATCAGTAGTACTTTGTTTTGAGAAAACAAGAAACGTTTTGAATCTATCAGCTGAATTGATATCGAGCGACGATTGGTTTAAAATTTGATTGCTTCCATATAGGGGATATATACAAGGCAACAGATGGTTTTAAGGGAAGTTTATTAAATGAAAAGAATATCTAAACGCATCGGAGGATAAATTATCTCTAAAAGGTATTGACTTTTTGCACGACACGATTAAAGAGCATTACTCGAAAATCTTTGAAATTATCGGACAAAGTCGTTTCATTGTTTTCCCTTAACGATGCAAATTTGCGATTACTCAAGAATCCAAAAGTTTCGTTCCAAAAGTAATTCTTTGATAAATTTTGCATTTTGCAACCAATCACCAAAAATAGCAACCTTCAAATTTTTTTGAATTTCACAGTCATTCCTTGTTTTTCCTATTTTTTCCTCGTTTTAAATGCAAAGACACTTCGAAGCTATTGAATTACAAGCATTTTAATTGACCACCTCTTTTTGCCAGCCAAAAGCGATGTTTAAAAATCAGACCACTGGAGCCGGAATATTTATATCTGATATTTTGTGCATCTCTTTATGCTGCGCTGAAGTACGTTTTTATAACAAACGGTTTTTTAGAATTGGTGCTCTCGACAAAACTCAGATAAGCAAAAAAGTATTTATATTTTAAGTAGCTCTTTTTTTTAAATATTACGACGTGCTAATAATTGCGTTTCCTATACAAATTTCTGCACGCGAACCAGACGTTTTAGTATTGTGGAAGAAAACGTCGGAGTTCGTTCGTCCTATCAGAAAACATTATTTGAATTCTTGTTTTGAAAATATATAATCTCTTTTCCCCCATTAAATTCACATCGGTCTTCGTAATTTTTGTTTTCTGAGTCCGCATTCCCTTTGATTTAAGTCAAGAGACAAGTTCGTAGTAAGACAAGCGCAGTCATGTCCAATGAGTTGTCCGGCCTAGCAACACATTCTCGTACCCAGGACTCCACTTCATCGACTTGAGAAGCACTGGGTATGATAATATGGACCGGCTGCTCATTTGGTCAGCGGTGGAAAAGTCTTATGACGTCAGTGTTACCTAGGATTCTATTGGACAAACAAAGTCGCAAGGTCCTGAGTCAAGTTACGTGATCTATAATAATCAATGTCTTGCCCAATTAGGTTTTCTTCTGTTCATCTTTTTCTTGTAAAATCCCTTTCTTCCACTTTGCTTGGCTGCTTGTATTTCTTGAAACTTTTTCTTGTTGTATCTGTCACACGTAAAAACGATATATCATCTATAAGTTCTAATAATTATCCCACATGAGCACACAGCTTTTTTCGTTGCAACTTGCGTTAAAAGATAGAGAGTTGAAGTACTGACAGATAGATAAATAGAAGGACAGACAGACAGAAGGAAGAGGAGGGCAAAGGGAGAAAAATACCTGCTTTTTGATTGCTTTATAGCAAAGTCCTTCTTTTGTAGGAATACCTTACTTATAGGGTTAGTTGTTTGGAAGACCAATCTTTTTTATATTAATCATATATATTGTTTTTAAAACCAATCATGAAACTTGTTGCAAACGATGAACGACGCTCCTGGGGGACGAATGAATGAACGAACCTTTCCGGGTATTTTCCAGTTTTACAAACATGTTTGCGATTGCGTGCTCTAATTTCTTTGAGAAGCCACGTTTCGTTGTTTGTTTTTAAACATTTTACCTTCTGAAGTCTGTATCAGCCAGTAACTCATTTACGATATTATTTCTACGATCTCGTTTTGGTATTCGTGATGAATAAAAGTCAGCTGCTCCTTCTACTATCGTCCCGATCTAAAAATACGAACAAAATCTGTTAATAACACATTGATACCAAAATACCACAGGTCATGTACATGGGCTTCCTGTGTTTGAGGCCATACACAGATGCATGCTGGGAAACATTGCACTGTTTTTTTTCCAAAATGGCAAATTTTTGTTCAATCCATACAACTGCTATTCCAGGTCGGTATCTGTTCGTCAAGCTGTCGGTAAATGGCCGGCGACGATATGATTGTAATTGTAAATTAAGGTGACTGCCTACTTTTGGAAATTGATTTAAGCTTTTTTTAAAACTTCGATTTTCCGAATTGAAATTTAATGCTGATTCCAAATCTGGAAAGAAAAATAGGGTGTCCAGCGCTCGTTTTCGAGATAATCAGCATTTAATGGAAGCCTACGCACGAGCTTTTGGAGTAAAAATTGCGCCACCGGAAGTGATTAGAAAAAAATTAAGATTTATAAGATAATAGTTATTTGCAGACTATATGATTGCAGGAGCGAAGGCTAGTCAATCCTTCTACAATAATACATGGATATTTTCGACAAAAAGACAGAGAGATACATTAATTTGTCATATTTTGTAGTTTCGGTGCTCTTAAAAAATCTCATAAAGTCGAACAAAAATCCCTACAAAAATCTATTTTTTCACGTGTTCCTGATTTAAACTTTTCCTAAAATGTTGATATAACCTAGATTTTTAGGGGTTTTTTCGAATGAGCTATTAAAAAACATAGAGTCCCGTGCAAAATTTGAGGGTTTTGCCCTGTTGAAGCTAAATACGCGTATGGTTCTTCAATAAAATCTTGTAGATTTTTCAGCGGTTTTTGAGCGCGCGCACATCGTGGGCTCAAATCGAACGTTCAAAAGTAGGCAGCCACCTTAAGTACGAATAAATTGTTTGTTTTTTTTTGTTTTTTGTTTTTTTGTTGTTTTTGTTTGTTTTTGTTTGTTTTTTTTGTTTGTTTTGTTGTTGTTGTTGTTTGTTTGTTTGTTGTTGTTTTTTTTGACGGTTGGCAAGGGACAGTAAATAGTAGTTAGACAAATAAAATGCGCTGTGCTAGCACGTAGGATTCTAACTTACCTGGAAATACTTGGGTAATTCTTTAGAATCGTTTTTCCTGTAATGTCTCTTTGGATCCAGTACATTTCTTAGTTTCAACAGCTTCAGATCTCGCTCTATTTCTGGTGTTATTGTTGTCGCAGGAAGGTTAAACCACTTAGGGCCAGCTGACTGTTCTTTGGCTTGCTGTGAATAAATTCAACAATAAAAGCCACAACTTAGTGGTCTTCCTTATGTGTTTGTTTTACAACCTAATATTGACAAGGTCTTTGAAAGATGGAGAGATAGGAATAAAGGTTTTGCACTATCACGTGCCCACGCCCATAATACAGCTTGGGCCTCCTGTGGTAAGTTTACAGAACAATAGAAGTCCTTTTCTCTCGTGGTTTGAATTCTTTCTCATGTAAAACGTTTTTATTGTTCATGCCATCTAACATGGCTGCCAACACGTGATGGTGCAAAACCTCTATAACTGTAGTGTTGTGAAGGAGTTTTTTGTTGAGGGAGGAAAACCAGAGAAAATCCTCGAAAAAATAATAGAGAATGACTAATTTGGGTGTTATGCAGATATCAAGAGTCTTGCTACAATTTTGAAAGACAGGGAGATGAGAGTGTTTACATCATCACCATCCGCCATTCATGAAAAACCATCAAAATTAGTTGTTTTAGCTTGCTCATACTTTGTTTTTTTCAACATACTGGTCAAGATGACAAGCAAAGCAAAGATTTGACCAGATATGTTTTAATTCTGCACAGATATTTTCTGATGTCTGGCTGTTATTTTAAGCCCTAACCCCGAGGAGGGGTTACTACCTTTGTCCAAGTGGTAGGGGTGAGGGCAGTCAGTTTTGAAAACGAACCCTAAAAGGTATGCCCATATATGATTTAAAGTGATTGCGCTGATGCCCTTCAATCAGTGACTGGTAAAATTTTTCTTCTGTTCTTTCATGTTCGTTCAATGAAGAAAATAAATAACAATAATTGACACTAAAAGGTACAGAGCCATGTTATGTAATTTAGAAGATATAACTAGCTAAAAACTAGTGTGAGCTGCGTCGGTGTTTCTAATGAAACAGTAATGATRAAAAGGTAAATTATACACCATGAAAAGATGAAAAAACTTAGTGATGTTTCGGACGCTGGTTTTTCGTCGGAGTAAAAGATTAGAATCATAACTTAGATTTGGGTGAGAACCCAAAGAAGGTTTACACAGCATTGAAATGTTTTCAGCCGCAAAGTTCTGCCGATTACCCCTCCCTCTTGGATAAATGGAGTACCCACCCCTCCCAAGGGCTTTAAATAATGTTAGCCTACCTGTCTTTCTTTCTTTCTTGTACTAAATGATTTATACATTGGTGGTGCTGTGTGATGCTTTTCAAAATCTGGGGTGATTACACTCTTTGCCATCAACTGGAAACCAAAAATATTAAAATGATTTCAATGACGAAAGTTTTTTTTAGGGACTTAAGGATTTTAGTCGCCAAAAAATTCAGCTCAATGTTTAAACTGTTAGTTTTCCAATTTCTATTTCTTCACTAGCTTCTGGTATGGCCTTTGTAATAGGGACTTTAAGATTTGCAAAATCTATGACAGCGGCATCAACCAGAAGGTCCAGGCATCTTCAAAGTCTGTCTTCCCAGTGAATGAGTTGACTTTACTGACAATGTTTGGAATGAAATCTCCAATAAACAGAACCCTAAAGAGAAGTTATTCACACTTCCGGTTGATGTAGATCCGTCGTAGATGTTGCAAATCTTAAAGTCCTTAATATCAGAGAAACTGCTGAATGATCAGGGTTCTTGCTACATTTTCGTTACAAAATTCAAGGACTTTTTAAGCACTTTTCAAGCACAAAAATTCGATTTTAAAGGACAACGTCTTTTGTATTAGAACGTGGTTTAAACATTGATTCAATGTTACAGTGCAGCCAATTCAGCCGGGGCCACGTCCACCAATAAAAAAACGATCATGCCACGAACCAACCAGTAAACAAGCAACCAAAAACTCTTCAATCAATTTTAATCATTATTTATCATAAAAGGAAAGTTAGAAATAACATTAAGTTTGCATTAAATTCAAGGAGTATTCCAGGAGTTTTGGCATTTTCCCCTATTTTCAAGGGCTTTTCAAGAGCCCTTGAAAATGTGTTTTCAATTCCAGGGCTTTTCAAGGAGTAGCATGAACCCTGAATAATAGGCCAGTTCACTAAAATGTGGCATCAAAAGCGTTATTTTTTATGGAGAAGGAAAATTGAGAAACCCCATAGAAAATCTTAAAGCACAGGAGAGAATAAAAAAACAACAACTATGGTTAATGCAAGGGTAAAGTCTTCTTGGGGCAAGGCAGGGTTTCAATGCATAAAGTCGGATATCAAGGAATTATCTGATAACTGAACATAATTTTCCCGCTTAATTAAACTACCATGATCTTCTCCTATGTCTATAACCCTGCCAGGACTCTTTAGGTAGTTAATAATCTTCTCCTAATATTTCGAAAATTAATGAAAAACTTTTATGCTAACTGTTAATATTGTAGAGTTGACACTTGTCTTATTTTGAGTATTCTTATTCAATAAATACTACTGTCCTAAATGTATGTATTGATTACACTTTAGGGTCAAAGTTTTTGCATATTGCTGTATAAACTTGTTTCAAAGAATGTTGGAGATCTGAGATGGGCGATCTAAGACTAAATGCAATTTTTGTGCTTTTATGTTTCCTGGCTAAAATAAGAAAAATCACATTTCTGACACAAAGCTTATGCTTCATATTCTAATGTAAAAAGAAACTTTGTTGTTCAACATTGAATATTAAATTTTGCAGAGTGTTACAGGATCTCTGATTTCAGATTTCAGATCTGACCAACAACGTCTTTGAAATAGGTGTACACACTGTATGCTGCAAACTATTCCAAAAATGTTTTAGTCAAGTACATACATACCTTATCTAAGTCACATTTCATTGGTTTAGGACAGACAGCATTGTGCAGTGACTTGGTCGTAGGTCTGTCTAGGTTCAAGTAAAGATCTGTTGATTGGACACCTGGTTGAAGTTCTGAAGAAAGTTGAGTTTGCCTGTGGATTTAGATAACTAATCATTAGGATACCAATATTCACAGTTTACAAAAAATTTTGAGAATAGGACATTTGCATGATGGCATCAATGACCTCTACTACCAGACTCTCTTGCACACTTTACCAAGCATTATGGTAGTGGGAGTCAAATGATGCTATCATGCAAACACCTTTTTTACAATAACTTAAAAATTCCGAGTCATCTTTATTTTCCATTCTTGAAAATGGAGTTAAGATGACTCTGAAACATTGAACTTGACAAATTTTAATGATTGCTTGGTTCTGAATTAGTAAGTCTTTTTATGTGAATCACCATGTAATAAGAACACTTAGAAATGATGTGGCATGTTTTCTCATACATATTTTCCAAAACGAAAAGAAGATACCACTTTTTGAGGTTAACAGTTGGGTTTCTAAGAGTAATATTGTGTGATTTGAGGGTAGTAGGAAGGGGGAGGAAGACAAGACCTGAAAAAAATCCTGTTTCAACCCACCCTCTCCCCACTGTCCTCACCCAGAATGAATCCTGCTACAGCACTTTGAAATCAAATTAAGTTGAAGGTCTTGATTAAGTCTCCCCTTCACCTCCCCTTTCCCCCCCCCTTTCTCCATAGCCTGAGAGTGCCATTGTGTTCCATATTCGCTTTGCTCACAAATGGGCTGTATTAACATTTGGCACGGTTTTTCCTGCCAAAGTAATATCCAACTACAGCAAATATTTTACATATATATTTTTTTTAGTATCTCAAGATAAAGATCTGATGATAGATTTTCTACGCCACGTTACTGAAGACTCAGTCCACGTGATAACTAAATTCTAAACAAATTGAAATTATAAGCTTCAAATATACGTACTCTCTTGAACTGCTCATCTTTATTACATCTGTTATATCCACAGACACTGAATCAGGCTTCTCACGCTCATCTCTCTCTTTCTCCATTTCTTTTCTTTTAGAATGTTGAGCCTTGGAAACCATAAACTCGTAAGTCTGTGCTACCAAACCTTCCAAATCCATTGCCTCTTCTTCGTCTTCTTCGCCTTCTTCTTCAAGTTTTTCTGGCTCTACCTTTTCTTCAATACCTTTAGAATCTTCTTTCTCTTTTAAACGCACACTTCTTCGTGTTTTAGGTGCCATTTTTTAAGTATTTATTTAGAGAAATTTTCTTAAACTTTGAATTTTTCAAAATTAAAAAAAGTTAATTTAGTAGAATATTCATAGTCAGCGGTATCACCATGGTATCGACCGCTGAGAGTGCGTGCACGGGCTCGTCTGGGTGACCACGTGTCTTATTCAAAATATTTTTGAAACTGAAAATGTGTGTTTCGTAATAGTCTCGTCAAAAAGAAAAAGAACTAGTTGAATTGGAGCCGAGAACTCGATGGTCTCTAGGAAACCAGCTCGAATAAGAAGAAAAAGAAACAAAAAGGATGAAAATAACGCGTTATACTTTTATTCATTCGAAGAGTGTGTGTCATTTTTGATGGATTTGAGTTCACGGTTTCTGATCTTTGCCGGCCGGCTCCAAAAACAATCTTTTAAAAAAGCCGGCGGCAACGTCTTTTTGAATCCTTTAAACGAAAAGACTTAGTTGTGCCTTGGCAAAAAGTCTTTTTGCTCGAGTTCACGGTTAGCATCTGACAACTAGTTAAATTAATTCCACATAAATTCAAAAAGCCAAAACCAATTTTGTTTTTGTGAGCAAAAATAGTACTAGCTCAACCACATGATTTGATTTTCCTGATATAAACCTTCAGTCCTAATGCTCACACCCTAGCAATCCAGCGCAAAGATATCAATAAGATCGTATCACACTCTGTATAATCACTAGAAAAACGGGCCGGTCCATAATCTTCAGTAAATGCCTGTCTATCAACTGTCTTCGTCTACACTACTTGAACTACAATATATTCCATTAGATTGACAAATGTCTTTACAGTGAGTTAACGTTTACTCCGTCGAACCGTGGACGAGCTTTTATCTTAGGTTATTTCAAATCCTCTAAAATGAAGTATTCAGCTGTTAAACAGAAAACATCGAGTGACTGATCAAAATAAGTCTTATTTCCAATCTTTTGGCTAAATGGATAAAATTTACAGAATGCATCTAAAAAAGTGTCAAAAAGCTAAAATCGTTTTTGATTCGAGTGCCCTTAGTGTTAAAATACTGCAGCAGTTGAGATTTTTGTCTTATATTACTAGTCGGTGACTTAAAACTTTGTCTGAGCATACGAATACAAATAAATAAAAGATCCGAGATAAAAAAAGATGACAATAAAATAAATATGAAAAAAGGCTTTTAAAATCAATTTTCAATCAATGACTAACTACTTACTAAAGGTCTTTTTTAGCTAAGTAAATTTGTAACTCCATTTATCCTAGGGGGCATAAACGTGATCCAGGCATTGCAAAACCGATTTCGTCGGTATGAAACCCACCAACACTCAAAAACAAACAAACAAATTATTAAAAGATGAATCGCGGCTATGGCTTTTGCTGAACTTGAAGTCAACCATGCATAAATGACAGACTTGTGCAGGCATAGTTAATAGACTATAGACTATGGTGCAGGCAACTCTTAATTGTCAGAATAGGATTTTACAGATATGATTGGCAGAATGGTTCCGAGTGGTTTTTAAGTTGCTTTACAATGTGGAAGGATATGATGAAAATTTAGAAGTCAAAATTCCTCAGTAAAATAGTTTGGATCCGACAGTTTAGTTATAAATAGGTTGTCACTGGATATATAAATACATCAAATAATCAATTGTTAATTTTGAAAATTATGCATCAATAGAAACGTGTGAAAACTAGGTTTGACTTGTAAAGTTTAGTAGGAACCGAAGGTCAGTTTTTCAAGGTGGAAATCTTGGCAAAACAAAGAGTAGTTGTGTTTCAAAGTGTGAAGGCGTTAATTTTTATGGAATTTTCTGAAATGCGAGGGAGTTGTGAATCTTGGCTGATTCTTACACTTAAAAGCCGTAGGATCAAAGATTTGAGCAAGTATACTAATCGAGGATGTTTTTAAAGTATAATAAGCTGATCTGGAGACAAATAACCAGAATTATTGACCACAGCGTCACAATGAGAGATTTAATAACCAACTTAGAAAACCGGCCTCGTATTATCAGCGCTCTATCAACACACCTTTACCCTTCATAGGCTTTCATCCTCTTTAATTGGATCTTTCCTAATTCAAGTACTTCGAACAGTGATAAAAGTAAAAATTCGTGAGAGATTGCTTTACACCTGGTGCTTAACTCTTGGATCCAATTGGCTAGCCTCTTGGCCACAGCCTGGAGTTATCACACTCTACCCAATGGTGATAGCCGATAAACCCGCCCCTAGTGACTATTATGGGTTAATCGTGGACACACACATTCTAACACCTTTGGCACTTTAGGGAATATTGAATAAACTGCTATTCTCACATGTCAATTAGCGGAATTGTTTACCTCTCGCGCCAATCAATTTACACGGTTCCGCGGGAGGCCAGTATACATTTCATTGAAGAAATTCTAAAATCAACAACAGAAAAGCTGATACATTCTGACAAAAAGCTGGCGAGTGATTTCAGGGATTTCATTCAGCTCGTACAAGTCAGCTAACTCGCACTGACCGACCCTTAAGAATTACACTGAATGAAAATGTCCTTGGAACAAGACAGGTCTGAAGTTTTATCATCGCGAGCAGCGGCATTTTCAATTGCCAATCTTTTGAATGACGATTCAAAGAAACTTTCATCAGAAACACAATTCCATTCAACAAGAAACCAAGTCAATTTGGATCAACCAGCTTCCAGCAAACGCTACGCAAGGACGTCACTGTACCAACAGAAAGATTTTATCTCTTCTCAACAAAGCTACCAACCTTTTTCACAAGAGAAAAGAGGCAAACAAGACAGCTACGCAATCAGGAATCTCTTAGAAAATGCACAAGCAAAGATCAATGAGCACGAAGATTTTAGTACCACGCGCCACCACACCAACATTAACACCCCAGAAAGAGAAAACCCGCTACACCAACTCACTAACTGCTATGATTTCGTCAGAAATTTTGATTTTCTGAGAAGTGACTTAATTTACAAGGATATCCCAAGAATGCCATTAGGCCCACGAGAAATCCAAGTGGCTCTTCAGCAGAGTGAACTGTGGTGGAAATTCTATTCCTGCGGGACAGAAATGGTGATAACAAGAACTGGAAGGTAAGTATTAGATATTTAAGATCATTAACTCACTCTAATTACAACTTCACAAAAAAACTTTTTTCCCAACCACAAACAGAACATTTGGTTTTGACTTGTAAAGTTGTTCGAAAGTCGTTAAGTGCTGATGGAGAGCCGGGAGACTTGCACAAAAAGAATTCGGTTCGTTTTGATCAATATTGAGCTCCTCCTTAATTGATAAGGGCGGTCAAAACAAGAATTGTCGTGCTATTCATATAGTTAGACCAACTTCCCAGTCTGTTTACACCTTTTGCTATTGAAAGCTCTTATAATTGTCAGTATAAGTGTGAAGAAACAGCTGTTGTAAAACAACAATTCCAGTTACTCTGATTAAAGAAAGCTCTCTTTAAAAATACTAGGGTATTTTCTACCGTTTTAAGTGGGAAAAACACCCTTTTGATCCACAAATTTGAGCACATTCCTCGCTTAGAATTGCAACACTTTTCGCAGATAAAGTGTATTTAATATTCAAAAGTGCATCTTGAATCTGTTATTTTTATGTAAGTGTTTGTTGGTAATAATTGAAAATGTTTTGAAATCCTCGAAAACTAAAATAATTTTACGCGGGGTAAAAAACTTTGCACTCTTAAATTGATTCTCCTGTATCATATATCAGTTGGGCCTGTTCATCAAATACTTGCAAACAAATCTATAAAGTGGTCAAGTTTCGGTAATACTTCTCTTCTCTTTGATAATTAAGACTGACCAAGTTAAAACACTCCGTATTATTAAACAAAAAAAAAACTTGTCTTTAATTGCTTCAAATGAAAAGCTGAGAATTCTCATTCGTATTAATTCCGCGAATCTCGAACGTTCTTCAGACTTTCCTTAACATTCCTTGACACATCGAAATGTTACGAAATTTACTCTCTTTCTATCGCTTACTCTCTATCGCTTACTCGTATTTAGATAAAATCAAAAATATTTTTCTTCATAAAGCAATTCTAGCAATAATATGAGAAAAAAATTATCAGTTGCTCGAAGACTAAAGGTTGTTATTTGAAGAAAAACATAAGAATCGTTTCTTTACTCTTTTTTCAATTTTAATTTTTATTTTTTTAAATTTTTTTTAATCTTCTGATATCGTTGACGAGTGAGACTTTTCGTCGAGGTTTCATTCTATACGATAAGATCGTAATAGCCTCAAAATCTTTTATCTTCTTATAATCATCCTCTAAAGATCTAGCAAGCAGTTCGTTAGCTACTTGATGCCTTTGTCCTAAATAAGCCCGGATTGTTTAATAGACTCAACTAAGCCAGATATCTTTATTACATCCTTCAAAGTTATCTCGATTTTCAACTCAGCACTTTTTATCCGGGTTTGAGGGTGAAATTCGTTTAGTTTATTTTGTTGCCCTTTGGAGAATTTTTACCGTGATGGGGGGAATTCTCCATAAACCAGCATGGTAATTTACCATTACAGGTGTAACCTTATTAAAATTCATCTTAAGGGACATTAAGTATGCAAAATTACAAAAGTTGGAACACCAATTTTAAGTCTTCACATGTGCACACAAAGGATGTCTTTGATCTCTTATCTGGAACTAAACATGGAGTCGTCTGAGTTCGATGTTTCCATTCATACCCAATGGGTCTTGACAATGGCCAAGGGCTGATTGCTAGTCATGAGGTCATTTCTGGCTCTTTTGGTTAGACCTAGTGCACAACAGACTCAAACGTGGACGCTGGTTTTGTTGTAGAAACCTTTGGTCTTTAAGAGTGATGTTCTAGACAGTTAATAAAAGCTAGAGGACGTTGCCGGGTCTAGACAAGCTCTTTTTAGGGCGTCCAATTCATCTCGAGGTCACCTATTGATCAGAGCCAAACCTGTGTGATACACACTCGTTTTCTTTATTATCCTGGGAATAATAGCAACACAAGGGTTCGTGCTACGATCATGGCAGGGCTAGACAACATTACACCTTCTCAAGTGCACTCGTGTTGCTAGAGTATCTATCGACAGTGTTTTGCCTGTTGACTAGCAAGCACACTGTGCACGACTAACAGTTCTCCGTAGGTAGACTTGGCTTAATATCGCAGGATGCTTACAAGTCCTGCACTCACAAGGAGAGAGAGCGAACATTGAACGCAATGTAGCAACCTATGTTTAAGGCATATGGGATTGTCAAAATAAACAAGGAAAAGGGATTTACTGGAGATTGTCTTGCACACGTGCCCAAACCACCTCAAGGGGCGTGGTCCTTTGTCCCCTTTCGTTCCCCTAATCTAGCATGTTTACAACTTGTTATAATAGCAGATCTCGTCGCATGAACAAACGGTTAGCATATGCTATCAAGTGCTATAGCTACGCAAGTGTTGTTCATGCGTATGCATGGGCTTTTTGATGGTTTAATAGGTCTTAGAGCCTTGCAGCTATATTCTGGTTGCCATATAGAACCAACGCCACTATCATCCAGCTGCAATGAAGTGAATTATTACGAAGCGCTATCATTGTTGTTTGTTGGTTGAAAGCTTTGCTAAGTGAATCACAGCTCATGTTCCACAACTGGTTCAGACAATAGACCAAAGCATAGATTAATTAAATGAGCCAAACTCCATTGAATAAGCCCTAGGATGGTCAGGTGTGTGGCTCATCTACACGCCTCTCTCCAGAGAAAGTACATTCACCTAAACACAGACTGTTCGTCTACTTATCGCGTTCGTGGCAAAGCGTCTCAGTGATGATAGCTTATTATATTTCTATTCTCTTTTCACAGGCGAATGTTCCCGACTCTGTCCTTGTCGTTTTTTGGCATGGACCCAAAGAAATACTACTCAATCCATGTCGACCTGGTCACAGTTGATCGTTACAACTACACCTTTGTGAACAACGCTTGGCAAGTCAACGCCATAGCTAGTGAAGTACATCCTTCATCGTACATTCAGTCTTACCAGGCCGATGAAATTGTTCATACGGGAATATACTGGATGAAAAACGGCGTAGACTTCAAGAAAATTAGACTTACAAACAGAAGAACAGGATCCTTTAAAGAAGGAGAGGTAAGGAACTTGACATGTCGATTTTTTTTCAATCTCTTCGAGTTACGAAACAAAATCTATTTCTTTTAATTTTACTCGAGTGCTCTTATTCAAGGTCGGATTAATTAAATTTATCATTTCAGCTGTCATAGAATTTTCAATCATTTTTGCGGCGAAGTGAAATTTAGCTTGGACGACGGAACGTTTACTGCGCATGTCTGAAATTCTCACAAAGAACCACATTCAAGCTTTAAGAACGTGCTTCGTCTTGCTTATAAAAGTAGTATTAAAGAAGAAAAATACATCCAGGTTTTTTAAACGGTTTTTCACCTTTTGTCCATGTGATTTTCAGCCACTGACAATGAAAATAAAGAGAGAGAGAAGCCACGGCGAATTGTCGTTTTTCGTAAATTTTCATCGCACTCTCATTACTTATTCATGGGGACTGTTTTCATTGTCTTGTACAAGATTACCTTTTGTATCTTCTGTATCTTATTACAACGAAAAATCTTCATATTTTTTAGCTTCAGATAGACGGAGAGGGGTAAACTAACTTCTACTACCATTCCTAACATTGTTTTTTTTAATTTAGCTGATAGAAGTATTCATAACTTTTCTTGGGAAATATCTGTTTTTGAGTGGTCAAACAGAACTAGTTTGCAGATGTCGAAAATCATTTAGCAGTTACGCATTATTCTCTACCAACGTTTAAGAATTAAGTGCTTTGAGATAGTATCACTTCATATGAACTTTTTGTGGTCGAGGTCACAGTAGGAAGGAAAAATGAATGGGGGGTTGGTTCAGATTGAGAGATTTTTAGTTCTACTCGCTTTGTATTGACAATCGACAATAAAAACCATACACATGCTACCTCATGGTTGCAAATAATTCCATACTTATATCTTATTATTTTCATATATTTATTACATCCTCATTTGTATTCGCTTAAGTAGTTGTGCCCGATATTTGTCGAGATTTTAACCGAACTAAAAGCTTCAATAGAATAGCTGTTAGCGACTTTGAAAAGAAAAAAAAAAAAACTATTGTAGCGTTTTGTTTAACGCTCAAATTTTTAAATAGATTCACTATGTTTGACACAGGTATTCGGACCCAAGCAAGGGGGAAGGTGGTGGGGGGAACGTGTGTGAAAAATGATTAAAGAAAAATGATAAAAAAGAAAAGACATAGACAAATAAAATAAACTAAACAATAAGGCAGTGGGTGATTAAAATAGTTGAGCGTACGAGACTTACATAAGAATATTATGGATATGTATCGTAGATAGGTAGTAAAGGTACAGTAAATGATAAAGTACATCGTACAATGTACATTGAATTAAGAATAAAAGCATTTCGAGTGAAAGCAACGTTACGAAACACGAGCTCATGCGTCGCGGCGGTGTGGTGGGGATTATAATAGAGTATCAAAATAAGAAAGCTCTGGGATAGTCGTTCGATCTACCAAGTGTTTATCATCCGTCAGGGGTTAAAACACAAGGTAGAGGTCAGTATTCGACCTACACGAAGCGAAGCTTTGAAAAAGAAAAAGGCTAAATGGTTACATTTGAAGATAGAAAATTATTTTGTACTCCTTTGTTGATTAAAAAGCCTCATGAATGTTTTATTCATTTTTCTAGCTTCAGCTGAGTCCGAACAGAAAATATCAACCAAGAATTCATGTTGTTGAGGAAACAGATGATGGCACGAAGGTTTCCTGTTCAACCTATGTCTTTCCAGAAACTTCTTTTATTGCCGTCACAACCTACCAAAATGAAGAGGTAACCAGTTCATTGTTTAAAACTGTTTGATTAAAATTAAATATTGTAATTGAAAGCCCGATTACTTATTGTGAAAGTCAATTTATTTTCAAAACGTCTTGCTTTGATATTATCATTTTCAAAATGATATTGTTTATTCTGTTCTTGTTCTCACCAAGAAGTTGCATTTCCATCGCTTTTGTATCATGAAAGAAAACTTTTCCTACAAGGCTAAACTAGCTGGGGATAATAATGCGTTTAAAAAATTCAATGAACTTCACTGAAGTGTTTAGTGCTGTTAAAAAGCCAGCATTATAGACATCCTGTATGGACACTTTTATAAAGTACAACTATTAACAACTTTGTCAAAAACTTTGTTTCGTTTTGTTCTTTTGAATTTAAACTAATATTACCTGAACTTCTATTTATAGCGAAACACTTTCTTAATTATACTCAATAAACAATCGGACGAAAGCTTTTAAATATTGGCTAAAGATTTAAAGCAGAAAGCTTGAATAGATGTCGATTGATAAAGCCAGATAATTCAAGGCGACAGGTTAAAAGCGTTTGAATAATTTACTACTTTTTGCTCGAGTCGAATTATAAAAAACCTTGATTCGATAAAGTAAAAATAACAATATTGAGGAAAAAAAGATTTTATCTTTAAGGATAAAAACCGAATGGTTAAATAAGAATGTACGTTTTAATTGGTAGAACGTGGTAGACTGGTAATTCTCCTGAGTGACTGTGGTAAAAATGAAACCAAAATGTCGTAGGACCAAGACAAAAACGTAGTACTTAAGAGATGTTATCTACAGTTTAAGTGGAAATAGAAATTAGAGTATCTATGATTGATAAAAGCTTAAAGCCGTCAGTAATTGGTCATTGTCAGGTCTTTTTTTCGTACTCAAGATAGAGAGACTTTGTTTCAAATTTTCTTAAGATACTTAAGTACTCAAGTAACTGAAGAATGACAGAAACATTCTGATATATATGTTTTCAAATTCTTCAGAATATTTTTTTAGTCAGCTTTAAAATCAACCTCCAGGTTTTTGATGTTTAATAAGATAATGTTGTATGAAAAAGTTAATTTGCAAAGTTTAATAAACTGTCATTTTTATTTCATTCGGATTCTATTTTATGTCTTTATTTTCTCAAAAAGTTACTGCAAATTGTTTTTATTGCCGGAAAACTTCTCGAAATTCAGTTTATTTTTACTTGACTAAAATCTTCTTTTCCTTGTCTTAAAAAGGTTTGTTTTGATTAAAAAAGGAAGTTTATATTCTTTTGTACTCAATACTCCATTTTTATTGATATTTTCTTTTCTTTCCTAGTTGATCCAAATGAAAATCGACCACAATCCGTTCGCCAAAGGCTTTCGTGACAAAGGAGCAAGGTATGAATCAATTCCAAATTATTCTCGATATTATAGTCAAGCGCCTTTGTTAAGCGACTACCACCACAAACGACATTGTCTTCCCTAGTTAAATAGAGGACCTCTCTTCAAACACACTCTAAGCAGTATTTTTGCCATTTGATAAAAACAAATGAGTGTCCCGCTGAGCGACACTTGCTCATAACACGCACTTTAAATTTCGTGTGAGGAACATTATCCTTTGTGATAATATCCTTGAGTTAAAATTTTTTAAGGTCCAAATTGTTTTATTTTGAATTGGTTTGGCTTTGATAAAACTTTCCAATTGTTGAACATATATATCCTGTTTACTTAGAGTAATAATTTCGCTCCTTAAGATATAAGAGCTTCAATCATCATTTCACACACACAACTGCAAATGTAACGAACAGGTTTTAAGAAACACTTGAAAACACTGAACTCAAATTATTTATTTTTTCAACTCTTCTTTGGCTCGCTTGGTTCTCTGAAATTCTTTTACGGTTTAATTTGAACATATTAATCTCTGTTACTCACTCATTCGAGCGACAAAATGTTGGATTTACATTATCAAACGGTGATTGTTTCGTGAGCACAAAGGGCAAAACCTTTCGTGGGCATTTGCTTGTACAATTGAAGTAGTGGTAATCAACTCCATAGCAAAGTTGCAATTAGTTTACCAGAAAATCAAAGAACGTCTCCTCCATTGTTCTTAGCCAACACCTACATTTACCTCCCAGTTTTTATTCTTTTTCTTTCTTGACATTTGAGAAGCTTTTACCATTGTTTTTGTCTCATTCGTTAGATTATATCTACGTTGGAATTGAAATTCCATTAGTTGAGGAGAGACGAGTTTTATGCGACACTTGAATGGGTTTTACACTTTTTTGGGTTGTTTTATATGTTTTCAAATGGCTTTTACTATTTTTTTAAATATCACTTTTAGAATTTCAATTCTATAGATAAGCTTTACTACATAAAGAATTTTTGTTTTGTTTTCTGTTGTTGTTGTGGTTGCCAGAAATGAGCGTTTGATACTTAACTGTAATAGATCAACTTTAAACTATTTTTCTAAACGACAAACTAAACACCATACTGAAACGATAATAAATTGAAAACAGTAATCATTCATTTTGAAAATCCAATATTTAATCTTCAAAAAAGCGACCTTATAATTTTCCCCCACCTGCCTTGAATTAGTACACATCAAAAGTCTCAAAAAAGAAAATTATTTGATTAAAAACCTTATTTGCTTAAGACAATTTTCAAGGTAATTTTAAACTGCAAAAAGGATTTAAACCAGTAAACTTAAGATGTAGAATAGACTTGTGTCGCTTGCTACTAATTTATTGAAAGGTTGTATCAAAGTATTACTGTCATAAGGTGGAGATTAGAAACTGATAGCGTAGATTTAGACTCAAAAACGATTAATTTTTCAACATCATAATATCCAATGCATGCAATCATATAGTAACCGCTTCAAATCAACTTTTTCTAAATACGATGACAAGTAATCCCTAAAAGCACCAATTTTACCAAAATCGTTATACAAATTTTACTATTTCGCTTCTTCGCTCGAATATTACATCATGGAGTCAGGAATTATTTTTATCTGGGATTGTAATCTAAATTCAAATACTGGCCAGGAATTTTTCGAAATAATAGTGTATCTTCCTTTGGATATTCTACGAATGTTTAGCTTAACTGCTTGGCTAGATTTTTGGAGTTGAATTGTACGAACGAATATATGATAAAATTCAAAAACAGATAATTAAACAATCATTGTGCCGGTGCTCAAGATAACATCAAACCAACAATAACATAATTTTGATAACTTTTTCTTTTAAAAAAATTGAAGTAGAGTTAATAAAGTTATTGAAAAATTTAGAAAAACTCATTGAAAGCGATTTTTTTAAACTAAAACATTAATACTAGGAATGGATGTCCAGTTTACATATCGTTCAAAAGATTTTCAAACAACTTTTCTCATCAAAAAACTTTGTGTTAAAATACGAAAAAAAAACTTTTTCCATGAACTAGGATTCCTCTTTTAGATTAAGTGTTTTTACCAGTAGTGATAAAGTATTCTTCTTAAAGATATTCTCCAGAAAACAGTAGAATAACGTAGAAATAAAGCGAGGTTTACCTTACACAATGCTTAAAAATGTAAACGTCAAATGGAAGAAGACAGGTAGTATTTTAAGATGATATCAGTCACTTACGTCTTTTTAGTTTTCTATAATAACTTCTAAACACAGCTTATACTTTCCCGGAATCTTTTGTTTGTTGTCTTTCACTCTTCATCATACAAAGACACGTAATTAAACCATAGTTAAAAAGCTATTTGAAACAGAGCACTCGATCCATAAACGTGTCACTGTGAATGTGAGAACGAATCATAGTTAACCGTGTTCTTTCTGATAGCAACACGTGTTGAGACGGCGTGTTGGAGAAATTAAAACTCCAACGTTAAATTTAAATAGCTCCATTAGACTCGCAATGAAACATCTTTCTACCTAAAACTCGTTAAAAACTAAAGTTTTTTGCCCTACATGACAGAAAAATCACGACCATTTTGTTTATATCTATTAATTTCTTATCTTGTACGATATGTTTTAATATAAGAAAGCTGTTTGCATCCGTTTCGCAAAGAATCAATACTTAAAGGTTTAAAAAGTGGTATGAAAATGTAGTCTTGAAGAGAAGAACTCAGAAAGAACGTCCAATTGAATTGATGAAAAAGTACGTAAATCTTAACGCATAGAAACCCACGTGTTCGTACAAACACAACATTGGTTATAGCATCTTTCAGAGCAACTCGGTCGGTTACGATTATCAAATTCTTCACCTGAATGGCTTCCATATATTTCGTATATATGACATCCTTCCTTAAGTATTTAGCTATTTAGTATATCAGGCGAATTCAGAGCCTAAAAAGCTTCGGTTGAATTATTGTCGGACAAAGTTTAATAAGGACATTGTGTTCCAGCACGCGTGCCAGTTATTATTAGGGTGATTAGCTTCAACTTTCTCACATCAAGAAAGCATATTCGGTTGATACAGTTAAAATAAGCCATTGTTTTTGGTATTTAGTTAATTAATAGATCGGCACAAGAGAGTTAAGATGGTTTTCTCCGCGTAAATAATAAAAGATGAATTATTGTGAGGTAGTCTGGGCAAAAACACTTGAAAAACAGTCAGTAACAATACTAGATTATATTGATACCCTACTTAACAAGCGCTTAAAACTCAGTCTTCATACGAACAAGGTATCTGTCGACTTCTTGTGATTGGTTTCATTCGCCCAAATCTTGAGGGTCAACTCCACAGTAAAGTCATAGCAGAAATCGCTGCCCAAAATGTCACATGTTGCATCGAAAGTCGTCTGTGAAAACGAGCCTTTTATCAGTTTATAAAAATTACAAAATTACTCGATTCTGATTGGACGATAGGAGTACAGTTAGATCCCAAATTGAATTCTGTAGAGTCCTAATTAAGTTGCTCAATTTTTTTGAGTGTATCATAAACAAAAAATCGCACAATATATCTTCTCGTACAATTCGGACTTTATAGGTACTCGTGATGTTTTGAAAGTTCTCAAAGCCTCGTCCAATCTTGAAAACTTTCAAAACATCACTCGTACCTATAAATTCCGAATTGTACTCGAGATCGTGCGATTTTTTAAATATATTTTTTACGACCATCACTCCCCTTACGGGGCTCTTCCTCGAGGCTCGCTCCACACCGCGTACTACCACTACATTCTATATTTACACTGGTACACTAGACAAAACGCACATTTAGATTTTTTACGGAGGGAGGAAAACCGGAGAAAAATATTCGTGGCAAGGGAGAGAACAACACATCGAACAAACTCTGACTTACATATGGGGTCCAGTCGACTTGTGCTTGCGACCCGGCCAGGCTTGATCTACATACACAGCGCTGTATCAGCGCATGCCTTCCACCTTATAGAAATTGCGTACAATATTGAAATATGCAAATAAATAATCTTTCCCCTTACGATTTTCTTTGGCAGGCGTCGATTTGTCCCCTACGACCAAAGACCAGCAAGCCAGCCCATGGAACCATCAAGCATGAGGTCGTCCGAAGTTTTGTGAAAAAGAATGCTAAGCACTGAAAATGCTTTGGTTTTACCAAATTCTCCTGCCAAAAACTCATGTCAAACGTCGGACTCGCTACTAAGGCTGCGTTTACCAGGTACCGCACGAATTTTTAACCGTTCAAAAATTCGACCAGTACATACCGTTTATACTGTATACACTCAACTGAAGAATCGTTGTCGGGTTCAGAAACATAGAACATAAAAGCTGAGACCAAAATGGCACATGGGAAGTATGTTAATTAGATGCATACTGTTACCGGGGACCCGTGGCATCCACTGTTTTTAATACGCGTTTGGCATTCTAAACCGACTGCATGGATGGCGCATTTCGGTCTCAGCTTTTATGTTCTATGTTTCTCAACCCGACAACGATTCTTCAATTGAGTGTATGCGAAATAAGTCCGGTTTACCCGGAACCGTTCGGCCCAAATTTGCATATTTTTATTCTGATACCTCAGTCCCGTGTGAATGGAACACCTAAACGTACAACTTTTTGACCGTTTAAAAATTCGTCCGGTACCATGTAAACGCAGTATAAAACCAGGGGCCAATGAACGAAAATGAAAACGGGTACCAACGTCAGTGGCAGCTTTAGTTTCGGTTTCTTTCGAAATATGTTGAGTTTAGACATCAATGTACGCAGTAGAGCTTTTAAGTTGTGATGTATTTCCGAGTCTAACTGGGGTACTTATCATTTACCAAAAAAAGTTAGCCCTAGAAGTATAGGATCACCCTACTTTCTCGAAAGCCGGCTACTGAGATAGTTATAGATGATTTAGCAGCAGTTTGAGCACCAATTTCGTATGATTTTAATAGTCAATACCAAGTGGACATAAATAAGAGAGGGAAACTTCTTATTGTGGTGCGCGTCATGTAAAATCCCGATTGGGCTATTTTTAGTAACCGGATGCGGTTTAAATTTCGCCTTACCCTACTCCCGTGCGTCAACTAGCGCACGCGCGCTCTCTTTCCGTTTGTTGTTTTGATCTCGTTTTTAGTCACTTTTACATGGCGCGCGCCAAAATTAGAAGTTTCCCTTACTCATTTATGCTCTCTTATCAATACATGGAGGCACGGGATTAGGGTAAGGCGAAATTGATGCTCTCTTGTCAATACATGTTCATACATTAGTCTAAATGTTTTTTTAAAAACCTCGGTAACCAATCTACCGTCTTCTTCATGCGGCAGAGAAAGAAATAATACTCAAGGAAAAAATACGCGTTCCTCTTCGCCTAATCAAATGAAGTTTAAAATATTCGCAAATATTTGAAGTGTGTTTTGGTTTATGGTATATTTATAGTCAAGAAAACTGATTTTTTTAAAGTCAGCTCTTTATATGCCAGCTAGTAAAGTAGTTTTATTGAAATATTTATTTGGATTGGAGAAATTGGACTTTAGTGGCAGTCGAGACATGAGGAATTTTCTCACCATTTCCATCACTGCTTACGAGTTTAGTTGTTTTTAATAAAAGAACTCTAGATTAAGATATTTTAAAATGTTAACGTTACAGTTATTAATTCATAATTGCGTATTTAGTTTGAGCGGGAAAGTACACTGAAATGGTTTTCGATTTGAGCCAATCAAGAACCAAGCGAACGCGACTCATCCAGTCATAATAGATAAATGAATGTGCACAACCTCGTTCTCAGGGACTTCTTTGCTCGCTTCTTTTCAAAATAGACGAACTTGAAGAGATGGCGGTCGCCATTTCGGAAAAACAGCGAGAATAGAAGGCCCTAAGAACGAGGTTTGGATGCTCATAGATAGAGTTCTGGTGTTAAGCCAGCATAATAATTATTTGTAAACATAAACAAGAAAAAGTTACAAGGAAAATGATTGCAAAAGAAAAGAAATTACGCAAGAATTAAAAAAGAGCACAAAAAGAAAAATAGAAAAAATGACGGCTTTAGAATTCAACCAAATTGCTTTGTAAATGTAAAATATACTGAATCAGGTTTTTTACACTGAACCTTGTAAAATACTAGCCATTCAGACGTCGAGGAAAAAACTGGGTCGAATAGCGCAGCGCACTGATTCTAAAAATAGAACATTGCATTCTGTTTAACCGCTACGAGGATTATACGAACCGATTTTATTTTTCCTTAAAGTTACAATAATAACCCATGTAAACTAAGATCAACTGCGATCGGCTGTAAAAATTATCTGCTGAAAGTAAACTTGTAAGTTTGTTTGTCCGAATTTCGCCTTTGTCTTCGTTTTTATGACGTCACGGTTGCGCTGCGCTATTGGCATTGCAGTGCATTGTGGGAATGTTTTAGGGAACGAAGTAGACGCCATCTTGGAAATATGAAATAAAACAGTCCCAGAATGCACTGATGCACTGCCAACAGAACTCAACCCAGTTCTCCGGGTGGCTAATAGAAGTTTTTCTGTCATTTTTATCTAGAAATCTTAAAGATTTTCATTTCCATTGTAGTATCGACGTATTCGTGCCGCGAAAAGCATCATGGTTGAGATTCGCCGACATATTTGAAAGGGTTGTATGATTTGTTATGAATAGAAAAATTGATCAGAATTTAGTTTAGCAATAAAGACTTGAAAAAAATCCAAGACTCTGTTCTTGATGAAAACCTGGGTTCGAGTTGCGACCGCAAAGCATCTATGGATGGCTCGAAGACACTCCGCACTCACTACCACTACATTCTGTATTTACAACAATCGATTCACATATGGTGCCCATTGCGCATGCGTATAAGCATCGAAAATCTACAATTATGATCCCACATGGCTGAAAAGGTAGGATAGGTATTGCTATTCACCTGATTATTTCTATTGGGAATTTGTTGTCCAGGCATGTGGTTCCTATGATTATCATGTATGCGGGGCTTCCATGGAATTACAGGACTCTATTTAAGCTAGCCTTGCTAAACTAGATGTGCCTGTATAAATATTGACTTAATTAGCGCACACACTAACCGGGACCTCTTGAATCAAAACTGACCAATCAGACAACGGTAAACTAGACAGAAATTGAACTGATAATAGCGTTAGCCAATCAGTTGGAGTATCCGCACAGAAAATAAAATGAAATGAAAAAATGCGACTTACATCGAGGGAAAAAATGTGATTTCTTTTCTGTCAATCTCGTACCCAGAGCCTTTATTTCTTACTGCGCATGCTTGACCCAATTTTTGTCGCGCTTGCGCAGTAAGAAATAAGGCTATGTGTGCGAGATTGCTTTTGTGTTTTCCTGTTAGCCTGCATCCACGATGATTTTGAGGGAGTTGCGAGACGTCTGCAGTTTCGTACTCCTTTGAAAGGTTCCTTTTTAAAAAAGTTAACAAGTACTTGTCAAGTTAGTGAGTATTCATTAATATTAGTAATATTATACGCAATTTATAGATGCAGGTATACAGATTTGTTAGTGAAAAAAAGGTTTCGTGTCACCCTCCTTAAATATAGTTGATTGATTACCGGATTGATTGATTGATTGATTCGTCATTCAGTTCAAAAATAATGTGTTAATTCCGCGTTAGAATATGAACTAACAGAAGGAAAAAAAGAAAGAAAGAAAGAAAGGAAGGAAGGAAGGAAGGAAGGAAGGAAGAAAGGAAGGAAGGAAGGAAGGAAGGAAGGAAAAAAGGTTTCGTGTCACCCTCCTTAAATATAGT